CTGTGTGATGAACAGGTGGTTCATGCTTCAAACAAAAGCACCTGCTGTTGCAGCTAGGACCTCTCCCTCAAAGACAGTCCCCTGCTGCTCTTTGGCAGGAGCGCCCTGTGAGCCACTGTCAAAGCCTTACTCCTGTTGACGTAAAGTGATGGAAAGAAGGGCGGCGATGCTGAAGGCTGTTGGCAGCAAAAGCTTATTGAGGGAGGTGGGAAACAACACCCTCTGAAATAGGGAGGGTAGAAAGCTGTGGTGCTTTGAACAACCGGGGTTGGAACACTAGCCAGGGATAAAAGTATTGCTTAAATCCAGGCTATCCAGTCCACAGGCTGTTTGTGTGATAGACTGTAGCCATCTTTCTGCTCTTTGTCCTGTGCTGTAAGTCTGAATCTTTGGCTGTTGTAGGAAGGTAATTACTTCATTAACCTGCAGGGTCACCAAGCAGCACTAATGCTTATCTTGAGCAATGGAGTAATGGGAGAAACAGCTGGAAGAGCCACCAGCTGAGAAGGTGCCACACTGCTACTGACTTGGGATGTAGCAGACTTGCATGCAAGCTTCAGTTCTAACTTGCCACAAAAAGCATTGGCTCTATTTCAGCTACTCCAGAATTTATGGCTGACTTAAAATTGAAGGTGTGCAGTCAACTTAATGCTAGCAGTGTGTATTCCTGCAGGAGGAGGGAGATAGCTGAGGATGCAAGTGGTTGCTTTGGGGGTTTTTCCCCTTAACCATTTAAGCTGTCTGATGAACCTGAGCATCTGGGACTGGGATTAATCATGCGTGGGCTATTAACTGCAGAATATCAAGGTTTAACAAAGCTAAAATTTCTTCTAGCAGGTGGTTTTGTCTTCCCACACAGTAATATCAGTATTTTGAGGTTAGAAGCTCCTCAGGTCGCTCTGGCTCAGATAGCATTTCTGTTAGAGGGACAAACTGCTCTTCAACAAATAGAAAAAAAGCGAAAGACAAAACTTTAAACCTTTCTGTTAAAGTTTATTTTGAAGCTGATTCAAATCCTTGTGAAAGTCTTATTCTGGATGCTTCTGTGTCATATTTAGTAGATGAACCAGAGAGAAAGTGCTTGTCTTGAGAGACATATAAGAACAAGAGCAAGCCATTGTCTTTGCTTCCCATAAAGCTGGAAGACTCTTGCAGGATGCTCAGGGAGGTGTTTGAGGTGGGAGAGCTCATTACTTTTCAGCTGAATAAGAAGGATTTCTTAGGAGAAACAAATGTGCAAATTTCATAGCATTATTCAGATAATGGAGGATTTCAAGTGTTTTTTGACACTGCTGTAATAGGCTGCTAGGATTAATAAGAGTGGGATACAAATCATCCTTAATCTAGTTTAGGGCTTGTGGCAGCATGTGGCAAAGCCAGTGTTTTTGCTTACCTCAAAGAGCAATTTGAAAAAAGCTGCTTTGCTTTACATATACCATGGCTCCAAATTAAAGAAATGTGGTTCCCAGTTTGGGCGGGGTGAGATCAACTAATAAACTAGAAATCCTCCCCTTCATCGTGAGAGAGTACTTCAGATCTCTGCTCTTGTAGGAGGGAATTTTGCGGCAGCTGATGGGATAGGCACAGCAAGATTCATGTATTGAGACTACGACCAAGATGAAGACTGAAAAATAGTTAGAAATTATAGATTTTGAGTTGCTTGGGGTTTTGTGTTTTTTTTTTTTTTTAAAAAAAAAAAAAAGAAAAAAGTCTGGAGTATGTCAGACTTCTGGAGCCAATGATATTACAAATGAGTTGTGAAAGCCTGGCCCATTCTTGATTAAATTGAAGATGCCACTAAGCAGCTTTCTGGTCGTCTCAGCAGAACTGAATGACTATTGTTCTTCAACAATACAGCGCTCAGCAAGAGCAGAGGCCAACAGTCTCCCCAGGGCTTCCCCTAAACGGGCTGCTTTGATACATGGGGAAGGGGCTTTTCCACTGGTTCTAATGGGAAGTGGTTAATGCATATCAAAAATGCTGTTAAAAATTTTGCCTCTCACATGCAGCTGGATTCAGTGACACCAAATCAAAAGGACTAGGCAATGCTTTTTTTAAGCAGTTGTCTGAACTGTTTGGTTTAAAAAAAAAAAAAAACAAACCTTAAAAAATCTGAGCTTGTTAAGTGGTGAAAAAACATTACATTGTGAAAGTGGTATAGGAATTGAAAGGGTTTTTTTTCTACTAAGATACATGAGATACCATCAGAGATCTTTCAAAGTATCCGCTGGTTGAACTTAAATGTGTTCATCCAGCCTCTCTGGCATCAATTACAATGTGAGTGGTCTGCAAATAGCCTCAATGGACTGAAAAATAAACTGGATGGTGATGGAAGTAATTTCTAAAAGCACATCCACATTAGCTGATTAACAATCTGATAATAAAATTTTGAGCTAAAGTAATGCAAAATTGTTGGTAATCTTGCTGTAAGCTGGAATTTGTTTGCAGCTCTTTCGTATGATAACATAAACTGGTGACTCAGGTCTGTGTTCTGTGCCCCTAATCCTCTTGACTAATCTAAACCTTTCTCATTGGTATAACTCAGCTGCAATAAAAGGTCATGGTAAAGCCTTGACCATGAGGTGTTTGTTGTCTGAACAGCACAGTCCGTCTTCTTGCTGCAAACCCAAATTAGTTCAATCCTTTCCAATGCTGTCCTGAGTCAGTGTTTTATGTTAACCTTGCTGTGTTTGAAATCCTTCAGCAGCAGATCATTTCTGCAGGACTTGTATTATGTGGGGCCGTAACGAAAGGTTACTGCCTTTCATGTCTTCTGAAGCTGTAGTCAATGGAGGAAGTGCAGTCTTTATATAACTGTACAGCTACATAGAATCGTAGAACCATAGAAACATTAAGGTTGGAAAAGACCTCTAAGATCATCTAGTCCAACCATCAACCCACTACAACTGTTACCGCTAAACCATGTCTCAAAGTGCCACATCTACATGTTTGGGTTTTTTTAACAACCCCAGGGATGGTGACTCCATCACTTCAGACAAATGTTCCTTAATGCTCGTGTGTCATGAAACTGGATGATGTCATGAAGTTACATCACTTTGTGAATGTTCTGACTGGCATCCGCACATGTATAATCCAGTACTGTCCCTTGAGTATTTGGAGCAAACAAAGTCCTCGGGTCCTAATCTTCAAACTTACTGGTCGATGGGAGATGCTGCAACTCCCAGAGGAGCAACTTGGGACAAGACCCTTTTGGACAACTAAGTAGAAGGAAACATATAGTGGAACTTCACCAAATTCTCATATAAACTATGGAAAGCAGACTTGATTAATCCTGCATCATGTTTTCTATAATGTTATTGAAGTACAGTAGCCAATCTCAGCGGGCAGGAACGGGTCTGAGTTTGCTTTCACATTTGCAGGTGGCTGCTGAGCAGCAGCTGGGCAACTACACTGGAATAGCGTGGGTCTCCAGTGGTTTACATTGGGCTGCACTGGACTTCCCTCTTCTAAGGAGGACCTAGCTACCCCTGCTAAGATACAGAAATCAAACTAAGGTTCAGACAAGTACAAGACAAAACTTGTGGAGAAGCAGAACATGCAGCAGCCTAAGAAGAGGCTAATAGGTCAGGTGTGAGGGGAAATGTGAGGGTAGGCTGGCTGAACGCCCTGGCTAACAGGACGGGAAGTGTGGCTCGTTTGTGATCAAGCCTCCTTTGTTAATGCCACAAAGGGAAGGGGTGCTGGCTCGGTCATCAAGATCAAGAGTAGTTGTTTCATTTCCTGACGATCTGTGATCCTTCCAGTAGTGTTGCAAAGATCTGCAGACCAACAAGTCTGTCCAGGTGTTCTTGGAAATCTTGGATGAGTTACCCCTGAAGATTCAGATTTTGGGCAAAGTTAGTCATGATCTTAGATAAAGGTGTATGGTGACATGTCTTTAACTGTATTGGCAGTCCCCTTGTTCAATAAGAAGCTGGAGAGATTGCTTTTTAACTGCTTCTGGGTAGAGTCTTCCCACTGGGAAGAGAATGCGGCACCTGTTTTTGCACCCAGGGCCAGGCTGAGTTGGAGAGCAAGGGATTGTGCTTGCCACTCTTAGTGCAAGAAAGGAGGGAGAAAAATAGTGCCCAACCCTCCATCAGCCAAAGTGGGGCCATTTCTGAAGTCTGAATTCACTTCTGGGCGTACTGGAAAGGACGCTCAAGGGAGCAGAGTTTGAGAAGTGGGCGCTTCTTTCTGTAATCTTTATGTGCCAACAGTTTGTACTCTTTAATGTTTGAAGTGCAGCGAGATCAGTTTGTGTGAGTCACTGACCTTCAACCCGAGAAGGAAATCATAGAGGAAGTACTTACCCGACCTCCTTTCCGTGGAGGAGTGCAGAAGCACAGTGCGAACAAGCAAGGACAAAGAGAAATCTGAATTACTTCATGACATGCAGCTATACTAAAGACTGAAGGGCAATTTTTTCTTAGAAATTCCTCTAGAAATGTGCGCACAGGAGCTTGAGGAAAAGACTTTTGTTTTCTCGTAGCAAAGGAAAGTGCTAAAAAGTTTAATATCCCTGAGTTGTTTTTGTTCTTTCTTGATATTTTAAAAAAAAATTATAACATCATCTAACTACAATGATCACCTAGAAGGGGTAAAACCTTGGCCTGATGAGGCTGGTGACAGCTTGCATATTTGTCTTCAGAGAGGTCGAATGGACTAGTTAATCACCTTGGAAACTAGTTGTTTTACAGAAATGTGGGGAATGAATAAGGTGTTAAGGATGGAAGAGAAAAAGAATAAAAACAAGACAGGGCAAATAAATACAGCCATATAGGTAATAGACAATGAAAGAGCTCAATTGCTTTGTTTCACAGATCATATTAGTCCTAGGTAATGTCTCCCTAGGATGAAAATGGGTGTTATACTCATTTTTAAGTGACCCCATTTTAGGAGAAGCTAGAGAAATATGGTGGGCCTGGTTACAAAGCTGGCAAGAATGTAAAAAGAATGTACATAACAAAATGAGATTTCACACTCCCAATAAAACCGTGATGAGCTTGGATGATGCAATGCAGTATCTCCTAAACTTGCAGACGGTGCAGTGCTGGAAAGGGATGACGAGTGCATCTTGGGAAGTCAAAATTCTGGAAAACGGGGAATGTGATTTGATGGGGAAAGATGAAATTCACAAGTGACTTATAGGGCTTTGGTTTGAAATATGAGGAGAGTGACTGGTTAAGTCATGGTAGGCCTGCAGAGATAAGCCTCGGGCTGGTCACAAGCTGAGAGTCCAGCGTGTTGTACCGGTAGGAACAGTAAGTGTATGCGGCAGAACCCAACAAGGTGCCTGAAGTAATCACTCTGCTTTATTTAGCGTTGTCTTCCCTGGATACCCTGACCCTGAACAGCTTGGAATGTTGTGTGTTATGACAAACAAGTGCAGTAGAACAGGGCTTTGCTGTCTTGCTTCAGCAACTGAACTTCTGTGCTGGTTAGTGTACTCCCTGAGGCATAAATGGAGACAGCTCAGGGCTGTATTCTATAGAGGAGGGTGGCTGCTATCTCAGGATTTAGTCTGAATACTCAGAAAAAGGGAATCTCAATCTACTTCCAGTTAGATGCTGTAGTTTCAGACAGGTGAACAGTGCTGAAGGGTTCAGAAAGGCAGAGAGTCCAAACTACTTTGCCTCCCCTTCTGCTTCTTAGATATAATGCAGTAACTCATCAGTGAAGTGGGTTGGTAGGTAGTGAAGGCAGGAGCAGTCAGAGCCTGAAGCAGAATGGTTTCGTTGTGTAAGGGCTGAGCATTGGCTGCTACCAAGATGCAGCTCTGAACAGAGTCATTGCTTTCTTCTTTCCCAAAGCCAGTGCATCCTGGAAGGAGTCAGCAAGACTGACCTTTCCAATGCCAAACTGATTAACCAGAACTACTCTTTTGAAGAGGGGGTATGGAAAGAAGAAAGATGAGAAACTGCAACCTGAACAAAGGAAGCTTGTGTAACCTCCAGGAGCTCTTGTAGGACCCTGCACAAGCAACATGGTAACTTTAAGTAATCTCATCGTTAACACGCCCTTTTCCCTTCTCTTTAAAGCAAACGACAAATCTGAACCTTCCCCCTGAAGATCTTGATTCATCTGGTGATGACGACGATGCGTTCTCAGGTTCAGGTGCAGGTGAGTTATTAGCACTTGTATTGTTAGGGCTTGATCCTTCCAGACTGCGGCAATCGAAATCTTGATGAACATTGGAGCTAAAAAGGGGGAGGGAGGAATCATACACACACCCCTGCCGCGGAATACGAGAGTTGGGAACAAAGACTGAGCCTAATCTATTCATCTTGCATTGCTTCATATACTAACAATTAGCAGAAAATTAATTATAGGAGACTTGAAAGGATCAGAAGAAGGTATACTCCATATTATTCCTAATATGAACTCCATATTATTGCTAATATGAGATAATGTATGAAGAATATTATAAAATTGGAGTAAGTCTTTAGTTTTGGGCATGGCCTGAAACTGCATCAGGGAAGATTTAGGCTAGATATCAGGAAACACTTCTGTGAGGAGAGGGTGATCAATGCACTGCTCAGGGAAGTGGTGGAGTCACCGTCCCTGGAGGGGTTTAAGGAGAGGCTGGATGTGGCACTTAGTGCCCTGGTCTGGCCCATGTGGTGGTGTTGGGTCACAGGCTGGACTTGGTGATCTCAGAGGTCTTTTCCAGCCTCAGCAGTTCTGTGATTGTCCTCTTATGAGCTGGTAGAAGATACTATTTGAGAGTGTGTAAACCCCAACCTGCCAACATACATCAAGTGCAAATTTTATCTGACATTAGGTATGCACATTCCTATGGACCATATTTTTTAGAAAGTGGAGTAAAGAGGTTTTAGGGTGGGGAGAAAAGTCTATCAGAATGATTACTGAACTGCATGAGAGAGACCTTTGGTGTTCAGTGCTGAAATTGAGGAGATGCTACTGAGGCAAGAGCAAACTGTTTAAAGCATGGTATCTTGCTTCCTTCCCGCCACATGCTTGTATTTTAAATTAAGTTCTGGGGGTATAAGACCCTGATATTAGTGCCAAATGTGCCAGTGACTAAAGATGTCAAATACATGGGTGACTGCTCTGAATGAAATAAGAATTATTTATGGAAAAAGAGTCAGATAACTGTCCTGAGCAAAGGGTGGACTGAAAGCAGACATCCTCTCTGTTGACCTGTCTGCAAACACACTAGCACTTGTGACTTAAGGAGGAGCAGATGTCTAACAGGTACTGCTGAATAGCCCATCAGTCTGTCTTTTCCTTATTCCACCCAATGGGATAAGGAATTACAAACTGAACTGCTGTTATTACAAAAATTGGCTGTGTACATTAGGCACAGCTTCCTTAGACCAGCGTCCTGAGGATACTATTAATCGGTCTCTAAACTGACTGGGGATAACATTTGTTTTGTTTTGTTTTGCAGGCCCCCTGACTGACCAATCTCGCACCTGGAAAATCCCAGGAGAACCGACTAACTCCTCGTTACTGGCAGTACCCATGGATTTCAAAGAACAGCCATTTCCTGGGATCGAGAGCCGAACTGAAAAGGAAGTAATATCTCCTTTTGCAACCAGCAATGTAGTGACAGAGGAGCCAGTTGTAGCCATGAAGGAGGAAGTATCCATCCTGGGCTCTCCTAATGAGAAGACAACAAATGATACAGTTACGACAACAGCAAGAAGCCCAACTACTCACTTTCCTGCAGTGGTTCATGTAACTCCTTCAGAAGCCTCAGACACAGTCCACGAGCTTGAACCTAAAATCCCTGGCTCTGATGTGCCAGACATCCAAGACGTGCCTGAGCCCCACTCTACCACCCATTATGAGAGAGACGTCATTGCCACCCCCACGGCAACAGCTCCAAAGGATGTTGTTCCTACACATGTGGAGGTTTCTGAAGATGGCTCTGGAGACCCGGTGAGGACTAAGAGCTTTGACACCCTTCCCAGGGAGATGGCTTTAATAGTATATAGTAAATTGTTTTTGAAGGAAAGGGTGAAAATTTGTCAAGAACAATGATTGATTTAGTAAGTTATATTGATGGAAGGTCTTAGATGAGAAAAAACAAAGCTGTGGAAACTCTCCAGTACGAGACATGATGAGAAACATGAATAACCTGCCTTGTATGTTTCAACAGGGAGACTTCATCTTGACTAAAGAAGAGGATTTGGTCCCCACCCAGAACTCAGAAGTACCGGCTGACTCTGGAAGGAATGCCAAAGCAGCAGGAGCCTCAGGAATTATGGACAGAAAAGAAGTTCTTGGAGGTACCTGATATTCTGGATTTCTAGTTGATAAAAGCAGACTCTCTCAGGAGCCTTCAAGGCAGCAGAAGCTGCAGCTCTCCAAGTACATCCTCGAGCATGAAAGCCAACCTTTTATATTAGACCTCTGAAATGAGGGTGGCAATTCATGATTCTCTGTCATCAAAGCCCTAAAAGGGGCAAATATTAATCTGCTAATAGCAAAGCAGCCACTGCTAGTTATCTGGAATTTTATGTTTAAACTTACTCGTTCTCTCAACAATTAAGAGTAAAACTGTGGTAATACTGCCTGGATCAAATTAGTGGAGCTGCACCACGTAGCCTTGCACGCGTTGCAGCATGGCCCAGTGGGAGATCTGTTTCTCTGGGTCTGCCTCATGTAGATGAGCAGGCTCTTGGTAATGGCAGGGTGACTGGTTTGGGAGGGGGTGGAAGGACAAATTAATTTCTGCAAGTCCTAAAGTCGAGGACTGCACAGTAAGGAACTATTTGTAACCTACAATCATATTAGCGTTGTCTGGTGTGGCGTCTAGAGTAATTTGTGGGTTTTTTCCCCCCCTTCTAGGTGTTATTGCTGGAGGACTGGTAGGCTTGGTGTTTGCGGTGTTTCTAGTTGCATTTATGCTGTACAGAATGAAGAAGAAAGACGAAGGCAGCTATTCCCTGGATGAACCAAAACAGTCTAACGGAGGATACCAAAAACCACACAAACAAGAAGAATTCTATGCATAAACACTGTTCTTCAGGACACTTCTTATTCCATCTTTCTTGGACTCTTCTCTCCCTGCACGTGGACCTCCTAGTGTGCTTTGCATTAAACTTAAGCCATATGATCATTGGGTTATCTGCCCTTACCACTTTGCCATTGGAAATTTTGTAACTACAAAGTAGATCTGGATTCATTGAACATTCCCTGCTTTCTTGCACAACTTTTTTTTATATATATATATTTTTATTTTTATTTTTTTTAAAACAGAAGTGGAACTGCAAGTTCCTAAACTCACTTTGGTTTATCTAAAGACTGCTGGGGCAGGCAGTGGGGAGAAGATAAGGGAGCACTGTATGTATAAACCTTTTGATATTTAGGGAAAGGGCTAGCAAGAATAAACAGTTACCAGTGCTCAAATTTTCTACAGCAGGGATACTTCCTATTTAACTCATAGGTGTGTTTAAGTGTCACAAATGGCTGCGCTGGGCAGATGTTTGGTACGCAGCAATCCTCTAGCTCTTTCTGTCATATTTGGAGCACTTAATGCCTATGAAATATCAAGCTGAACACGATTTCTAGTGAAAGCAGGCGTGAGAGGCAGGGAAAGCAAATGAATGTCACGTGCTTTAAAATAACATATTTTGGAAGCATTATCCCATACTCAGAATGAGCTCCTAAGCAGTTGGTGCGTACACCAGTACAAAACAAACCCCGAAGACCCCCAAAACTAAGTGGAGAGTTCCAAAACTCTAAGTGGAGACCCCCAAAACTAAGTGGAGAGTGCCTCACTACCCTCTTGCTCTTTCTAGGCCTAAGTAAGAAATAGATCTTTTTTTTATTTTTATCTTTTTTTTTTTCTCCCCAAAGCAGTTTCATTTCAGACATTCCCTCTTCTTAGGTGCCAAGTCTAGGCTGGGCTGCCACGCTGCAGATGCTCTTTGCCCGCGCTACCGTGTAGCTGCCAGATGACTACGGCGAGTTGTAGCATCTACCTCTCCGTGCGCAGTTGACACTGGTGGTCTGGTAATGTGGTCTGCCATCTACGCCACAGAATACCTTGGCACACAGGGACGGAAGGTAGAAAGCAGCATATCATGACTCCACAGCTAAGAAGCAGAGAAACGTAGTGTCTGAAACAAGCGTGACGAAGGCTTAAGTGTAGATGGCCTTAAATATATACAACAGTTGGCGTGCTTGATTCTCATTACTATGGAACAGCCCTTCAGAGGCTGTTCCCGCACTTTGGAGAGAAGCAACTCCAGGGATGTCAGACTAGTAAGGGCCGAAAAGCACCTCCTGAGGAAAGTCGGGTTGCCTCAAGCTGTTGGTGGTCAATGTGCTGTGAGATGCAAGGTGCTGAGGCCTCACGTGGGGTCTGGAGTTCTCCAGAGTATCTCAAAGCGAGCGAGAAGAAAAGTGTGGTGTTCTGCACGAGTTCTGACTTCTGCTCTGCCTTTGGTTAGCTTCATGCAAGTTCAGTTCCTCATCACTCAGTGCAGAAGGTATGGGGTGGGTGGAGGAGTGTTTACAACTGATGTAAATATTTGTACTGTTGAGCCAGAGGGAATCATTGGAGAATATTGGAGAATATTGCAACAAGTTGGTACAAATGTTGCGCATTAACAGTAAAACTTAAAAACCTGTGTAATTTAAATGAAGTATAGAACACTCCTGAGCTGCTACGCAGCTAAAATTGGTGCCTTCTCTGCAAACCCAAGAAAAAAAACCAACCACTTGATTCCAAACTCCTTGAAGCACAAGAAAAACTTGTGCATAAATGTAGCTAGCTGTTTTTAAGTAAAGCTGCAAAGTCCATTATGCCTCTTTGGTTGGTTTTTTGTGGTTTGGTTTTTTTTTTTTTACTGAATGAATTTTTATAGGTTAATGCAATGACCAGATGGTGTTAATTTCAGCTGTAATTCTTTGCTTTGTATAGGAATGTAGAAATGTTGTTCAATAGGTTTATCTATGAAAAGGTTCTTGTAAAGCACAGGAAGATAAAGTGGTAAGCTTCAGTTGTACCTCACAACCTTGCTAGGGGGAAAGGAAAAAAAAAAACTGTATATTTTGGTAGTCTAAATGACAGTTTGTGAAACAAACATGACATTCTGTGTTATTTAAGTGGTACAAATGAAATATGAGTTCTAACAGAAGATGCGACATTTGGTTATCTGGATGCCATGTAAAGGTATACTGCAATAAATGGCATTTTGGCAAGAACATGTGATCGGTGAACATTGCTCTGTATAACACTTCATAAAGTAGATGGGGTTTTAAAGGCTGCCCAGCTCTTTAAGGAAGCTGGGATCCAAGTATGAGATGTGGATTTTGGTGCTAAACAGATGGAGGTTCAGCTCAGAATCGGAAGGGTATGGAGGCTCTTCTCGGTGGCAAACAATGATAGGACAAGGGGTAATGGAATCAAGCTGGAACACAAAAGGTTCCACTTAAATTTGAGAAGAAACTTCTTCTCAGTGAGGGTGACAGAGCCCTGGCACAGGCTGCCCAGGGAGGTTGCGGAGTTCTCTGGAGACATTCAAAACCCGCCTGGACGCGTTCCTGTGTAACCGTCATCTAGGTGTTCCTGCTCTGGCAGAGGGGCTGGAGTAGATGATCTTTTGAGGTCCCTTCCAAGCCCTGACATTCTGTGACTCTGTGTGTGATACTGTGACACCGCCTCCTGCCTCGGATGCCCGGGCTGGGGTGAGCTGCTCTGCCCTGAGGCAGCATGTGGGGTGTGAACTGGCTGTGGTGGAGACTTGAATGAAATCTGCAGCATTTCACCCTGATTTTGGCAGTGCTCCTTGCTTGAGCAGTATGTCACCAACCCCCAAAAGGTGAAAGAAGTCGTCTATCTTCCACGGAGCTCCCTCCTGCTACCTGGCTTCTGCCTCTGAGAGCAGGGAGGGCTGCAGGAGGGGCAGCTCCAAGTCTTTCTGTTAAAATGTACTTCCTGAGACAAATTTGGAGACTGTACCTCCAGGCAGGCCTGTCCTAAGTATTCTGCTGTACATCATCAGTTACTCCGGGGTGCTGCAGCTCATGTGGGAGGAGATGGAGCAAAACAGAAGTACAGGAAACTCCTCCACAAAATAGAGAAGTCAAAAGCTGCTGCCTTTCTGGGTGGGTCTTACTGCAGCTTATACAATTATTTTCTTTTACAAGGCTTTAAGCTGTAAGAAACTTACCTTTTTTTTCATTCTTTAAACTAGCTGTTGTATTTTTAGTTTATAGTCTTTTGCTTACACTAGAACCATGTGGGCTGGGTGTTTCCCATCAGAAAATGTTTGGAGGAATCTTGGTAATCAGAAGATTTGAGGTCGGGCAAGAGGATTGATGGATGGAGCATAGAAGTCTTGTTCCACAGATAAACAAAGCTGGAAGGGGCTTCCTAACTATGAACCAACATTGCCAGTCCCTTAAACTGGATAAAAGACTTGTGTAAGATCAGAGCTGACTGTTTTGCATAGCAGTGTCTTTCTTGAAATATATTCTCTTTGTTGGGGGTTCCCAAGACTTTTGCTTCCGCTTTTCTAGTCAGTGATAATGTGGGAAGTTAAAAGTGGTGAGGAGGGGAAAAAAATGAACTGCTGAGGGAAGTGGGAAATTTCTATATGAAAAGTCTGACAAGTGAAACCCTGATCCTCAGCGTGCACTTGAGAGAAACTTTGTTGTACTAAGAGACAATAATCTGCAGAAGGGATAGTCTGCCTCTGTATCCTGGTACAGGTTAGCCTGGGCTTTCCTGAGTCATGTTTCTGTCCCCTGTGCTTCCTGACTTTCTCCTTTATCCATGCTGGAGCAATTATCACATTTGCTCTTGTTCACAAGTGAGATGCAAAGAATGGGGCTGGCAGAAGACCTGACCCCTCCTTTGTTCTGGAAAAATGAGCTGGAGGGTGTAAATGCACCAAACGAATGTCAAGGAAGGCAGACTATGAGAGGAGAAGGTCTTCTTACAATTCTCACTTTGTCAGGTTGCTCTAGACCCTATAAAGGAAGCTAAAGCAAGTCTAAACGACTGTATAACCTTGTGACTGAAATAGAGAACAGGGGGAAAAAAAAGAGGGCAACTCTATGGGGGTGCTGAGAAGAAAAGCTATTTCAGACATTTCATAAATGCCTTATCTGAGTCTTCATCAAGACTATCTCTATTGACAAAAATGAGTAGTTAAATAAAGGTGCAGGCTGCAATTTGCACTGTATCAGGTAGCTGCAAAACTCAGAAAAAAAAATCCACCTTTAAATATCAGGGGATGAGATAGAGGCTCAAAACTGAATAGTTACTTGGCATTCTGGGATGGTGTTTAGCTCATGAAACTGGAAGCCTCATGGAGAGCATTTTTAATAAAATTAGAGGACAGCAATTTTACTGCAGAAAATGGAAGTGTAGTGCTTGCACTAAGGAAAGGGGAGAAAGGGTATGGCCTCAGCAGTATGGAGGATCTTACAAAAGCGTCTGATGGATAGAAAAATTAAAAGATAGTATGCTGATAAATGGGATAAAATATAAAATAGATTCACCAAAAGTAGATTGTGCCAGACTACTCAGATCTCTTGCTTTTCGATAGCAGTTTTTTCAGTCAAAGGCAATGTAATGTAATTGAACTTCGGTAAAGTCATTTATCAGTGCCACAAAGAAAATGAATAATCAAAAGGAGGAAGCTGTGAATTAGTGGAAAAAATGTAAAATGGCAAGAAACGGGCTAAAGAGGAGCCTGCAGCAGGCTCTGCAAGATGGGAGGTTAGTAGGAAGAAAAGACCTCATTTTGAGAACATCTTTTTAGATGGAAGGGAATACACAGAATTACCTTTGCTTTTGGTGATTTGGGCAGCCTGAACAGTGTGAAATATCAAGTGTAGAATATTTTAATGTTCTGACAAGTAAAAATTAGGATCAACTTCAATAGGACAAGGTCAGGCATTGAAGGGGGTAGCAACAGGATTTTCTGCTCTGACCTGGGAATAAGAGAGAGGAAGAAAGGGCTAGGTGAAGTACTCAGTTTTAGAATAATTATCTGTGTTATGCAGCTGTAAGAAAGGAAAATATAAATACAGGCTGTAGTAGTCAAGGCATTTCCAGCAAATAGA